AGCAGCAGAGTGTCCGATATTCATCATAAACCCTGCGTCAGTAATAAATGTGTCGATGCTCGGCCTGCCGGTAAATTATACGACTGATAGTGAGAGTGGGAACTTCCTTTTTCCAGTCATCTATTGAGTTTATATTCATTCATTGAGTTTATATTCATCTATTGAGTTTATATTCTATTGAGTTGGATTTTGCATCAATGACAAATACAATCTGCCATAAAGGAACACATAATTAATAATAAACTTTAAAAAACAACAAAAACACTAATGAGGATGCTGCTCCTTAAAACTAAACATATTTCACCAAACATCATCCACAGATTTAATTTACTGGTTTTTGAATATCTGAAAATTTACTCTTCTAAATGAGAAAGAGACCCTGGATCTTGAAAAAGGGTCTTTTGGGATAAAGATTAATAATAATAATAATAAACAACTTTATTTTTACAACACTTTTCAAAGTAAAGTTACAAAGTTACATGACCAGAACCAGGAGTCAAACATTTCAGGAGGTAATGAGGCAAAATAAAGTCACATTGAAGTGAGGAAGAATCGGCTCTGATTGGTTGTTTTCATTCGGGCCCGGTGGATTCTTGTAAACGCCGTTAGGAGTCAGACGAACCAGATGTTCTACTGTCAGGATATAAAGAAAGTTTCAGCAAATGTGACAAAAAATGCTTTTAGAAAAATGAACTTTAAGGCTTCTGACGGCACCGATCTTCTCTCACATCAGCCTACAGGACGAAATAAATAGTTATATTTATTCACATTAATCTTTTGTCATTTATTGTTCAGCCGTCAAACAGAATATTGAATATATCTTTGTCACAACCCTTTAAATAACAATTCTGAGCAGCAGATCTTCTCTTTGTAGAGGCTGAACTGAGATTATTGTTGATTAAACAATTGTTTGATAATTGTAGATTAGCTGATTAACGTTAATCGTGGAGAGAGCGACTGATTGTGAGCCGATAACAATTTGATATTTCCGTTGATTCAGTCTTTACCTTCTGTCTTCAGGAGGAGCTGTCGAAGCAGATCTCCAGTCTGATCCACAGCTTCCAGGACGTCGATGGACGTAAGTTAAAGTTTCCCTTCCGTTTAGATTTTTTTAGTAAAAGTATGTAAATCAGGTGATGACACCTGAGGGAGGGAGCCGTGTAGTTCTCACTACGATGACGATGTTTCCTGCAGAGTTCCTGTACATGGAGAGCTTCCTGCAGACCTTTAAAAGGGAGTGGACCGGCATCGACCGGCTGCGGATGGACAAGTTCTTCCAGGTGAGCCGGACACGTACCGACCCGGTTCTACACAGACCTCAGTGGTCACTTAAGATGTTTTTAATTGCTCATAAACCCAATTACTGATTTTTTTTCTTCCTCTCTCTCTCCCTCTCTCTCTCTCTCTCTCTCTCTCTCTCTCTCTCTCTCTCTCTCTCTCTCTCTCTCTCTGTCTCTCTCTCTCTCTCTGTCTCTCTCACACACACACAGCTGGTTCGCTTCATGTTCAGACAAACATTTGAGATGCTGAAGAGGAAAAAGTGGGAGAGCAGGTAATGTATTAAAACCTTGTCTATAACAGTGGTTCGTCCACTAGGGGCCGCCAGAGCTTCACGGGGTTTACGGGGTACAGTTGTGATGATTTGGGCTTTTTTGAATCACAATTTTCACAAAAACTATTAAAATCATGAAGATTTAACATTTTCTGGTGAGTTTTGTACCAAACAATTTGGTTTTTATAAATCTGCAGCACTACAGTGCTTCATCATAAAGCTGTTTATTCATATTCCATTTCAATAATATTTAGATTCATTCTGCAGCTCCAGTATGTATAAGTGTTAGAAATTTCAAAATACATAATACAGACAGAGAATTGTGTAAAAACTTCCTAAAAATATCAAGAGAACGAATCTCTGATCAATATTCACAGGAAATAATCAAAAATTCATCCAACTCTGGTTTTATACGAACTTCCTGCAGTTGTTTTGTTCACTGTTCTACTGTTGCTGTTATACACTGAATATAATATGAAATGTCCATATTATAGGTCACTCAGGTCGCCACTCAGGTCGCCTCTCACGTTGTTGTCATTTTCTGTCTCAGTGTGGTCGGCAGGTTTCTGGAGCTGCTGACGGTGCAGGTCCTGCAGAGCGGCAGCGGAGCGCCCAGCGGGCTGCAGTTCCACATCCTGGACCTTTACATGACTGAGCTGGCAACCGTGGGCTCAGCAGAGGTAACGCCACCGCTCCAGGCACCCTGTGTCTGTAATAAATAACAGGCAGTTGGGGGCTGACATTGAGATCCAGGTGTGAGGCGCAGGTGTAACGGAGGAGCTTTGATTGGAAACCAGTCTGATGGTATTGTTTTTCAGTGCCTCCGGGGGGGAAATGGCACCTTGGAGAGTAAAGTTTTAAAACTTAACACACATCAGGGTGATAAAATCACAAGAAATAGTGATAGTCACATGAACACACAAAGAAATAAACACATCACTCTCAATTTAAAGCCCGTTAAGTTCTGTGTTTGGCGACATATGGTCGATATTTAACGGTGGATTCAGATTAAGGAGTCCTGATGATACTAGTCCTGTGTGAATGGGTCTGAAGGCTCATATTTACTGCAGGTCACTCACTCAATACGGAACTAAGTGCTCAGCAGGTGACAGCGATTGATCGAGCTCTCCGACTCGAGTGCGGCTGTTAGTCTATTTTCTCCTTTTTAATCCGTCAGGAGGTTTTCAAGGTTGGAGTGAAATGTTTCTGCTCTCGTTGATGAGATGAGGAGTTCCTGGATCGATGGCCGATAGCCACAGGGAGGCTCTCAGGAGGCTTAATCAATCAAAGTGCCACTTTTAAACAATTAGACATTGAGAGCTTCTGTTTAACGGACTCATGTTAGAGAAATGAGTTGTTCTTATTGTCAAACTCATGAGGTAGACATTTCTTGTTTAGAAGTTAAATACAGTTTGATTCTCTCTATGGGAAATATGATATAGTCCTATGTTAATGTATTTCTAAAACACACTAGGGTTCTGTCACACTTCTGACGTTGGATTTTATGATGGACGCAGGCAGGTTTTTATTCTTCCATTAAGGTTTAGTTTGCACAAGCAGCTCTGGAAGCACCTTGACCTCCACTGTTCCCCTGAAAATCGTATTAATTAGATTTCACACTGTGGAAACTGCGAGCTGAGTGAATGACTTTCATTCTCAGAGTCTTACAAAGCAGCGTGGAGGAACTCATGGTTGCTGAGTGTTCACACAAGGTCCTGATCTCAGGGTGCCTGTTAAGCATGGAGGCATTGCAGCCAGGTAGAGGGACACATAGATTTAAATAGCAGCAAACATCACGACATCTGTAAAAGAAGCTGAAGCTGAAAAGAGGAAAGGATAATGAACTCAAAATTCACCACAGACGACCTCCAGAGACCCGACTGAAGGTCCTCTGACTTTAAATATCAGTGGAAATCTGTGGTTGGATCTTAAAAGAGCTGTGCATGCAAGACTCCCCGAGAATATTACAGAACTAGAAGCTTTTCACAAAGAAGAATCCAAAATACAGAAACTGATGATGGATGAATGTTTTATGTTCTGTACCCTCGACAGGCTGTTTACATCTGTTCTGTATCTGCATTGTACATCGACGATTTAATGAATTGTCCTTAAAGTGCCGCCTCACAGAGTTTTGTCCTGTTGTGTAATAGTTTGAAGGCTCTTTGCTGTTTTTCCCAGTAGATTTTAAACTGATCACGTATCAAACTGTTGTCGTAGTTTTCCAGTAATCAGTAAATCCAGCAGATGATATAAGAGCTTTTCTTTCCTCCTCACAGCTCACCGCCGATCAGAACTTAATATTCATCGAGCCGTTCTGCAAAACCGCCGCCAAAACCAAAGAGTAAGTCCACGCTGGCTCACCTCACGTTTAATTTATTGTACTAAGATTATAAATGTGTAATAAAGTTACCACAAGTGACTAATTTACAAGTTAAAACACGTTTCTGTGATTGAGGAACAGTTCAGAGCGTCACATATAACATAAAGTGATGTTGTCTATGTTCGATCTGCCCGACTCATCTGCTCCTTCGATGTCTTCTCTCGCCAGTCGGGGTCTTTTCAGAACCATCTGCAGCAGCATCTTCAGCGCCATTATCGACCAGGCTCCCTTCGCCATCGACGAGTTGATGAAGGAGGTGAAAGCGGCCTCGGACTCGGACTCGGGACAGGCTTCTGAAGGGGACGACGGAGAGGAGCAACAAACGGCGAGCAAACCGGTCGGCAAGAAGAAGACGGGGAGGCCGATTAACGGTACGGAAACTGACTGTTGATTACAACATAAACTATTTGCTCTATAAAAAATCTGTTCCAGACACAGATTCACTAATTACCAACGCTAATGGCTGTTCGCTCTGACTAGCAGCACTGTGGGAATCTACTGTGTGCTGACAGACTACTACAAAGCCACATGGACTCCTACAGTCTGTTCTTCCACCACTTGGTACTTTTGTTATCCTCCTTTTTTTAAGGAAAATCTAAACTACAAAATACTGTAGCATGAAATCCTACACAAATGTTAACTCACACTTTGACACATTTTGACAAATTAATTTGAAGATAAACCCTTGTTAACAGCATGCTCATGTTAACTCCTCCCTGTTTAGGAGTCTTGGAGTTTGGATGGTCTGCAGTAGCTTTACTCTCATCTGTGATCGACAGCTCACATACCTGCAGGCCGTCTCGCTCATTAATACTCAAAATCGAATCTTAAACAGACTGTAAACATACAAGATACACATAGACTGAAGAAGTCTGTCAGTGAGTGAAAGTGGGAGCTTGCCGTAGAAATACAGCATCAAATATTTAGTAAATTGGTTTCTTTGTTTTCAGGCAAGAAATCAACTGAAGAAGAAGAAGACGAGGAGGAGGATGAGGATTATGATGATGATGATGATGATGATGAGCTTCTTCACTTGGAAGACTCGGACTCAGAGGCACCATGTGACGAAGACATCGGACCAGTCCTACAGGTGAAGTCTTTTTCTCTTTTAAAGTCATGAGATGTCTGTACAGTTCACCCTACGCAAGCTGATTATTAGCCCGATCAGCCTGCATCAGTAATCAATACTCACATTATTAAAGCATCAATCAGACTAATAACTAACAGCAGTCAGAGTCAGACAATCTTATCAGCCTTCAGCAGTTAGCTAGTGTTTCTGTAGTGGAGACTAAACATTAACAATGATCCATATTAGCAGTTTGAATCCAACTAAAAGCTCCCTGCACCAAACTCCCTTTAAGAAATATCACATTTTAACAATTCCTAACATGTTCGTAACAACACGTAACTCTAGAAACACGAGCTGAAGGCCGTCATATGTCCACAGTCTGACTGTCAATACGGGATCAATATCATCAATAAATATAAACTGTATTCTGTATAAATTTACATTTTGTTGCCTCAGCCTCGGTTGTCGCTGGACTCTTAATTTCTCATTAAAATAAATGCTGGTTGGTGGATCATCATAAACACGCTGAACCAAACAGATTCATCACGCTGCTTATTCTCTGCACATACTCTTCACCTTTATTGTAGATTTAGATTACAATCAAAACTAGTTTTATGAACTATAAACTCTTGTTGTGTGCTTAATAAGTCGCACTGTCCTTGAACACACCATCAGAAGTCATCGTCTGTGTGACTGGAGCCGACGAGGCGTTCGCTGTGGAGAATAAAGTCTGTTCATTCTCAACCTCTGTGTCTGAACTGTACTTTCTTTCTGTTTTACAATCACCATGTTGGACTCAGATGTTGGACTCACGCGATGCCGATAAATCGTCTAATGCCGTGTTTGTTTGTGTGTTTTGTTTTTCCGTAGTTCGACTATTCGGCTCTGGCAAACAAGCTGTTTGAGTTAGCGAGTCGCAGCAGCACGCCGAGCCAGAACAGACAGAGACTCTACAAAATCATCAAAGTGTGAGTAACCCGACGCTGTTTGTTTGTGTGTGTTAAAGAGGCAGCGGCGCTCTGATGGATCCACAGTGCAGTGCTGTTGGCTTCCACACTGGGAGACGTAATTAAATGTCAGTTTAAGGGAACTCTGCCCTCCAAAGGGAAACTGCAGTAACTGCAACTTTGGTACTTTTTAAATGTCTCTTTTATGTTGTGAGAGATTGTTTGAGTTCAGTCTCGCTTTATCTTAGAGAAAGAACGAGGTAAAGATTGAATTAACTACAAAATCCAACCAATAAACTGCAGCAAGTGCAGCTTCAGTGTCTGTAAATCCTGAATTCTGCACAATTTCAGGACAACGTTGAGCCGACTGTAGCACATAGTAATTATAGGTTGGATGTTATTACTGTACTACACAGATTTTATGGTCAAACTGTGACTGTAGAAGACTGTAAATAGGTTAAATGCAGTTTCTGTAAAAGTAAAACACCATTAAATCTCACAGCAAAGCCTTTATTTATACGGCATTTGAAGTTGTTTGTTTATATTACAGACTGTTAATTGCACAGGCCTTCATATCTCATGGTAAACTGCTTCTGTTGATGGTAAAAACTTGTATTTATACGGTAAAATATGGAATAAAACTCCAACAGTACAAATGTCCGTAATAGTACCGTATTTATTACAGAAAAAATCTGGCAACCACAGTAGTTCTAGTTAGACAGGACAATGTATCACTGTGCTAATTAAAATAAGTGTACTACTCTAACTCTTTTTCTTCGTCTCTCACCCTGTTTCGGTGTTTGCAGGCTGCGGGACCTCAGCGAAGGCATCTTCCCTCAGGATGAGTATCCGGAGGAGGTCTCCACAGACGAGGATGACGACATGTTCGGCAGCAGGAAGAGGATGAAGAGGAGAAAACCTCGCATGGAGGAGGAGGATGAGGGAGACGCACCAGCATCCAAGAAAAGTAAAGGTACCAAAATGTTTACCTGCCGTCTATGCAACGTTTGAACCCACATTGTTACCATCCACTGTTTAGATCTTGGTGCTTTTTAACTCTAGATTTGAACCGGATGAAGGATTTTAGTCATCGGACGTCTGGATCTTAAGTTATCAGAGAAACAAGCTGAGCTAACGTTAGCAGCAGCTCGGCTCGCAGCCCCTCACTATAAACCTTCTTACTTACAGTCTCTGGTTTCGTGAGCGAGATGTTCACTGTGTAAAGAACTTGTGGAGGTCGTGTTATTGGATTTATTACCCATTCATCCACTGATTTGATCTGGAGAACCAGCTCAGATCCGTCGGCTCAGAGGTCGTAATCAGACATTCAGCTGTGTAATTACGTTGTGTGACACTGCTCAGGTTAAGTATAGCTTGGACCTGCGTACAGCAGCTCTCTCAAGTTTCAGGAACTATTAATTGGAGGAAATATAGGGCTCTCGATATTCAGAGGAAACACTACTGGGGGTTTATTCATCAGTTAGCGAGGCATTCATACCTCATAGAGTCTGTTTTTATCAGAAATGAACTGAGGTACATTTTCATCTCTCTGCATCTCATAATTTTACTTGTGTAACATGCAGAATTAAAATCATAATTAACTGCAGCTGGTGTTAATGAAGCCCTGAGTCGTTCCTTAAAGGTTCAGTTTCTCTTTCATGATGACTTCCAGGTTAACTGATCTGTGTCTCTCTTCCCTCAGGGAAGAAAAAGGAGGCTTCCACGCCCAACAAGCAAAACAAGGACTCTGCACAAGATGACGCAGAACCAGCAGACTTAACCACGAACCCTGAAAACAAAAAGAAAAAGAGAAAGAAGAGGAAGAAGAAGAAGAAAGCAGCTGGCGAGGGGAACGCTGAGAAGTCTGAACAGGAACAGATTGTGGATCAAAGTTTGGTCAAAGAGGCCGAAGCAGAGACGCAAAGCTCCGTCTCATCTGTAAAAGTCACAGAGGACGCCGTTCCGGAGGGTCGGTCGGAGGCTGCTTCAGTTACGGTCTCAGAGGAAACCAGTGAACTGACTTCCTGCGCGGCCGATGGCGGCGAGGACCAAACCAAAATCAACACGAAGGAGGAGCCGGCAGAGAAGAAGCAGACGAAGAAAAAGAAGAACAAAGGCCTGAAGGCGAACTCGCAAACAGAGGAATCGCAGGTCAGTGCGACACCCGATACTGACGCCACGACCGCCGCCGAGAAGACGAAGAAAGGTCTGAAGAATCTGGAGGAGGTTGAGGTCAACGGCGTGAGCGCAGAGGAAGACGCCACCGCTGAACCCGAGAAGCCGGTTGATTGTACGACGCCGGGCAAAAAGAAGAGTAAGAAAAAGAAGGCTGAAAAAGCGGCAACGGTTGAAGTAAAACACGCTGAAATCACGTCAGTTGGCGAGGAAGACGTCACCGCTGCGCCGCTCGAAAAGAAGACAAAGAAAAAGTGCAAACAGGAGGTCGCAACACTCGAAGCCTCATCTGCTGCAACGCCACTGAAGAATAAAAGGAGAAAGAATCAGAAAGAGTCGGAAGAGGATGGCGTGGCGGTGGCGGGAACCCCTCAGGTGGATGCTGAGGAACTGCCCATCACCATGACAACACCAGCAAAGAAGAAGAAAAAGAAGCCGTCGGAAGCCCAGGTGGAGGAGATCAATGATCAGACGGTCGGATGTGAAGATAAAACAGACTCTTCCTCCGGGAAGACGGCCAAGAAGAAGAAGAAGAGGAAGATCCCCGTGACGTTCGAGTTCGAGGCTGATGAGCTGGAGGCGGCGGCGGCGGTCAACGGCGTCGCAGAAGAAAAAGTGACGACTGTAAAGAAGAAAAAAGTGCTCCGCGTGAGTGTTTAATGTCGTTTAATGTTTCTAAATAACGATAAAGACTTTATTAAAGGGCCATCGCAGCAAAACACAGACACAATAAATAGGAAATAAAATCTAAATGTAGCATAAAAATAGTAATGTTTAACTCTTCCGGACATAAAATGGTTGCAGGAACCTTAATTTTTAAAAATAAAATGTAACACTGAGACGTCATTGACTTGTAAATTCTCCGTGTCAGGATGCCGGAGAGCCGTCAACTCCTCTGAGCTCTAAAAAGTCCCAGAGGAAGGCGAAGACTCCCGCGGGGTCGGCTTTCATCACCTTTCAGAGCGGCGCCGCCGTCCCGACGCCGCTCTTCTGCAAAACCAAGGGAGGCTGCTGCACCCCGCCGTCCAGAAAGAAGGTACAAGTGATGAAGAGTTAATCACACAGATGTTTGAGGCAGAGCCGAGCAGCTGTTATAATCACTGTATAAATATTCATTAAAGGCTAATTGAACATTAAATCCAGTTTGTATTTACAGTAACGTCTTTATACTGATTCTGTTTCCTGTCTGTAATGGTTATTGTAATTATTATAGTAATTTCATCCTGCAGTGCTTCCCAACCTCGGGGTCAGATGATTAATAGTATAATGATAAAGTAATAGATATGTGTTACAGTCCTTCAGACCTTGAAAGAGTCATTGAAACGCCTGGAAGTTCATTAAAATGACAGAATATCCTGGAAAATATTGGATTATATTTTTGCCCCTCCCTCAGATCGGCTGTATTTAGTTTGAAACTCCACTGTTTGTAGGATTATCTGTGTCAATACTCGTTCTACTGGTAGATTACAGGACTGTTTTTGATAAAGTTCTGTTGTTTATTGTCCAGAAAAACTCCTGGAAAATGATTTCTTAAGAGGAGATTGAACTCTGATTCTCAGAAGATCAGTGGAAATGCTGCATGCAGCCTATTAATGATCAAATAATGGCGGTTCCCAAATTAAATCTCTTGAAACCAGCAGTGAAAAAAACCAGCTGTGGTGAGAACAGCAAGTTAAATGTGTAAATTATATGAACGTTTGTGAGCAACTGCTGTCCTGTTATGTGAAGAAAAACTCCTGGAAAATGATTTCTTAAGAGGAGTTTGAACCATAAAAACGGTTATTTTAACAAAAAGAAAATGACATCAGGGCACAATTGCTCACTTCACAGGAGGAAGGTGTTCAAAGATACAAACTGAATATCTGGAGCAGCATTAGATTATATAAACAGGATAAAGGTTTCTCTCCCGCTCTTTTCTCTTTTATATGATTTATGGTTTATCTCATTAGTGCAGCAACATCAGCTGTGTGGTTTCTACACTAAAGACTCTGTAAAGATAATGAAAACATATCAAACTATTATTGATTTAATATCTATGTCACTGAATTCATAAATGTACAATGTGAAATCTGTATTTATGGACATTTTGTTTCCGTCTATAAGTTAAATCTGTTCCTTGTTCTGACAGTTTGATTGTTACGTTGATGTGTTTTGATTCACTGAGATTAATTGATTGATAAAAAAAAACAAATGTTAAAGACTTTGTCCCAAATTGATTTGAGGAAACCTTCTGATATGTCTCAACTATAATGAATCCAGACTCCTTATTGAGCCCGTCTGCCTCTCTGATTGTCGTATTGTTTGTAACAGCGGATTTATTTTCTGTTTCACAGAAGACTCAAACTCCCAAATCAGAATCCAAAAAGGTGACCTTTGGCCTGAAGAACAATAAGACAGCCGGTAAGAAAGTGGGTGCAGTTTGATATCGATGATAAAGACGTATTGAAGCTGCTGCACGATGTCAGTAAACCGTCTGTACATTCGTATTCTGCAGCCTTGTTTTATCTGAAGCAGAAGTGAAAACTCGTCCATAAGCTGTTGGATATCTTTTGTATTCTAGATGAAATTGATGGTTCCTCAAAGTGTCCAATATGTTTACATGTGTATAATCCAAACTCACAGTGAAACGATGACTATAAAGAAGACGTTTCATCAACAGGAGAATAAAATAAGAGATAAAAATGTTCCTTAAATTCAAATTTGGCCCAATCAACTCTTAAATAATAATAATAATCATAATAAATCTCTTTTCTGAGACTTCCTTTTATTGTTTCTTTCCATCTTTTGAACAGATGGACTTTATAATTTGAGCCAGTTGTTTGCTTAATGGCTGCGATTATATTGATTATTAAGTGTTCAGTACAGATGCTGGTGATTTTCCCAGATTATCCACTGAGTTATTTTTCCTAATAAACATCCCCCAGTGACATTTCTTGTACCTAAATGTCAGAATGATTTTAAAAACTGGGCAGAAAATGTTTTTTTATGTGTCTCACCATGTTTTCTCCAACAGTGGTTGCATTAGCGTTGATCCCAAAGTGCTTCACGTAAACCGAAAACATCAAAAATAAACTGCAGGGAGACAAATAAAGTAAAAAACCACTGATAAAAACCTCTCACATTACACTGAATATCTTCTTTCTGTCTCCCTGTCCCGGTGCAGAGTTTAGGAAGACCGACCGCAGCCTGCTGGTGAGTCCAGACGGGTCGTCACGAGTTCCCTTCGACCCGCAGCAGAAACCCAAGTTCGGGGTCTTGAAGTCTCCGGGGACGCCGCTCTCCAGCAAGCTCAAAAAGACGGCCAACGGCACCAGGAAGACCGGCCCGGGCGCCCCAAAGAGCACGCCCAAACGACGGCCCACGGCGGCGGACTTCTTCTGACCGCCGGTGAACTCTTTAACGGACTGATCTCAAACAGTTTTTGGAGAGATGATATATATAGAAGTATTTTTATGTTTATCTGATGTCAGTGTTGCTTTCTGCCTTCCTAGGGTGACGTTTTAATAAAGTTGCTCATTCCAGTTTTTCCAATTTTTATCCAGTTTGTGTGTGAATCACTTTGATTAATGTGGAGAAAGTATATTTATAGAAACATTTTCATATTTTTTAAGGAGAAAAACTTTCAAAATTTAGTCAAATTCATTAGACAAATAAGTAAAAACAAAGATGGTAAAAATGAACCTATAACTTTAATAACTCATCAGAAAAAGCTCAGTAAACCGTTTCCTGATGAGTTTCTGGTCTCAGTCTCTAGTTTCAGTCTTCTTCCATACAGCATGATGTTCATTTAGTAACTGATGGTCCCATTTAGAGTAAAACAGACCATAAAGCAGGGTATGCTTTAGGGCGGTTGTTTAAAGACACACATGGCTGTTAGCTTCAGGGCAAAACATTTCTGAAGTTGTTGTAATAATTGTATAAAAAACGTCCTAAAAACTCATCTCTGAATAATATTCACAGGAAATAATCAGCTCACGGATGCATACATGCAAACATAATTACTTGTTATATAATGTCATCGCCTCGTTGCCAACCTTCAATATGATACAAGCTTAAAATATAAATGAACACATCCGTCACTCAGGGCCTCTCAGCAAAGAGTCAAACTCTTTTTATTTTTGCATTTCATTGACCTCTGACCGCCGTCTGCAGGACGATAATTAATGTAGAGCGTTTAAATGGCTGCTTGCGCCGAGAAAAAGTCCCCAGATGTCAGAGACTCTTCAATATCTAACACTCATGAATCATGTTTGTGTATGTTTTAAAAACTGGGCCATGGCTAATGTCTGGTGCTGGTGGGAGTGATAGCTTGACGTCACACATCAACCAATCTGAGGTGTGAAGTCGGTGTGGGATGAAAGTGGGACGAACATGTGATCTGCTCTAACACATATATCCTCGGGGGGGGGGTTCGTTCCCCTTCATGATCCACGGATGGAGAAAATAATCCAACAACCAGCTCCTGTATCAGAATTATACAGTCCAGTAAAGAGAGTTCTGATTATAATGAACATATATTACTTAAATTAAATCAATTTAATAGAGATATTTCACATTTATGGACAAAATACATGCAGGCATGTTGCATGAAGTTTGATCCGGAGTCTGCAAGCTGTATTTTATTTTGAAAACTGACTGGTTTCTTGTAGCGTTTCCTGTCTGTGTTCCTCTGGGAGACCTTCAGTACTTCTTAAAGAGGTTATAAAACAAAATAAATAATAATTCAGCCGGACTGATTTGAGTTCTTCTGGATCTCCACTTTATATTCTGATAAAATTACAGTGCACCGCTGTTATTTTATCAGAATATAAAGTGGTATAAAATAGTTTGTGAATGTGTGTATTTGAATATTTCTGCTTTCAGGGGTCCATAAACAGTGTTGGAACTGCATAATGAAAGGAAATTAGACACAAACTTCTCAACTTTTCACATGTTTGTGAATAAGCTGTAGAAAATATTAATTTAAAAGACATCAATGCATTTTTTATTTTAGGATTTTATCCCCAGAAAACACAAGTCTGCCAAAAAGTGAACAAATAATGATTAATAGACGCTAAAAGAACAAGACTAATAGTTGATTTTAAGCTGTAATATTAAATTTAGTATAACTGTATAATGTTTAATGAAGACTGTTTGGTCAGAAGCATAAAGTTTCTCATTATTCAACCTGGTTTCATGGGACCGGTTGAATGAATTAAATTAGGTAAATGTGATGTTTTAATTCTTTGAGCGTGGAGGGAAATGATGTTGAAGGAATCCGGGATGAGAGTCGGGTACAACCGAGGACAAAACACAAGTTTGTTCCCTTCCAGACTCGTTTTAAAGGTTAATCAACAGGATACAAATGTTCCACTTATCAGAGAAAACACACTTTCGTAAAGACAGGAGGAGCCGGACAAAGTATAAATAGAAAAGAGCCTCAGGTTGTTTCCTCTCTTGAGTCTCAGGCTTTCAGGCATTCACTCACACTTATTAATTATTGCCTTCATGCTGCTGCAGTGAAGTTTATTGTTTCGTGGTCACTGTGCAGCAGGTTGTTGAGTCCCAACACTTATTATTATTTTAATACCAAATAAATCACATTTTCTGAGGCCTTAACAGTCTCAAAAACTCATGAAACTTCTACATGCCAATATTCAGTTCATAGTGTTAGCGCCACCTACTGGCAACAGGAAGTAAGCCTTGTGTGGCTATTTTGATCTGATTTATCCTCCTCAATGTTACACACTCGACCTTTAAAGTACTTTTTTACTTGAACTCTACATGAAATCAGAGCATGTGTCACATTTTGTTTTTACAAGAAGACAAATTTATCTGATTTTTGATGTAAAAATACAAGTAAATTGAGTTTTTGTAAATTTTTTTGGCATAAATAGTTAAATAGATGAACAATATAACTGAGGATGTGATCTTAAAGGGGTAAAATTACATTTCTCAGTTCATCTGGACTTTAAAGAGAGCAGAGAAAAGCTGCTCAATTACTCCAAAACCCAACTGTCTGTTACGTTTCTTGCATTAAACTTTCTCCTTTTTGATGCACTCAACAATTTCAACTATTAGTCCCTGACATATATTACGACTGAAGGAGCCCCTTCCATCTGTTCCTCCAACCCAGGTGTCAAACTGATTCATCAAGCTTCTTAATAATATAATCCTGCTGAGTCAGAACCGTCACCTGGGGCAGAATAATGGTTCTTTCTCTTTTTCTGTGTTCTCACTTCATACAACTGTCGGTGAAACAGCATTAAAATGAGTTATTGTTCCAGTAGGATGTAATGCTGCAGTCTTTCTTTTACATTAACTGTCAGAGGAACAACAGGACGCTGACTGCAGTTCACTTAACGACCACTGGTGTCACTATAAACAACTGTTCCCTGAACCTTTAGGCTGCATTGAGCTAATTAACTAAATTAACTTAAAATGTAACATAAAATGCCCCAAAACCTCCTCAGCTGCAGGCAATTAAAACACAACTTTATCAGTTTTATTGAGACAGACAGAGGACAGTTTTCCAGATGTTGCTAAGAGAAGCTAACTGTCGCTAAGCTAATTAGCGTGCAAGCCGGTCGAGTTCTGGGGAAAAAAAATGTCTTCATGCAGCTGTCTAAAAATATCTCTGAATGCTGTCACTGTAGGAGCTAACGGACCTTTTACAAACCACAGAAGAGAAGCCAGAAGTAAATTAAAGTACGTTAAATCTTTATCAAAAACATTAACACCCGACTGAACATCAATCGGAGTCTCAGGAGCCAGAAACTGGGAGTGCAGGGAACCAAGAACCAGGCTCTTAACAACATCATCCTTTAGTTTTTCCACCACACGCAGAGAAAACTAAAGATTAAATGTCAGATTTCTGCTTTGTGCTGCTTTTGATTAATGTCAGAAAATACTCCGTCAAACAGTTTCAGAGTTTACGTGAATGACGAGGATCGAAGTCTTTTATGTTTTCTTGGTCTGTCCTCTGAGAGTTGGCTTTCTAACACAAATGAATAATATATCGTGTTTTCTCTCTTCTTCAAGCTAAACATTATCCAGAAACCTTTCTCAATAACTTACCTTAGAGATACTAAAAAATAAAACCCTGTAATGCCGGAAACATGAAATAATTACCAGAAAATTCATTTTTTTTAATATTGAATTTTCTGACAAATTATAAAAAAAAGAAATTAAATAACAATTTGCAAATATGAGTTTTAATTTGTGTCATTTTTGCTTCATCCAGTATTTTTGTGCAAGTTTGTTTATCTTAAACAAACAAAAACGTATAAACGTATCTTCCACGGTGGAAGAGGAACCTTTCACTTAGTTTGGTTCACAACCTCTTTTTTTGTTCACAACCTCTTTCTTTTGCATTGTGGTCGGTTTCTGTCCTTGTTCAGGCAAAGATGGACCTTTATTACATGTTTTTCTTGACTTAAATTGTTCAAAATTGGCAAAAATATCCTTGAAAAACCACTTTGTGGGTCACTGATTGATGACAGCCATTTTCGTTACAGGTTAAAGTTCAGTGCTTCCTCACCCTTTTTCCTTCAGTCAACAGATTCATAACTTTAGAATTGGACCATCGACCGATTCATGGTACTTTTACATCGATGTAGGCGTCAGCGTACCGACGTAGCTGCATCTATAATGATAAATCTTTACACCAACACTCGTTATCATTAGTCCCATTCATTCCTCAACCGTTTGCATTCTCCATTGCTCGCTGCAGTAAAGTTACGCATCGACTCTACTGAAGCTAAACTCTCTAAATGTTCTCGACCTGTGACGCCAGTTGTCCTAAACTGGTCATGTGTTCTGGTCTCATTCAAGCTTTGTGTGAAGAATATAGAATGCCAATAAATATATTCGTCAAACAGCAAAACAAACACGAACCACACGAGAGACTTCAACTCAGAGCCGTTCAACTTTCCTCACCGCGAGCACGTCTGTTACTGTTTGTCATTCAGCCTGTGCAGCAAATAACCAGCAGACCGTAAAGTGCCAGGACTGTTTACATCCAAACACACCGCTGGGCCGAGAGGATTCACCTGTTGCTCGTTTTTTGTTGGAGAAGGATTTCCCGTGATGCTTGTGAGCCGCTTTCATCTGATCTCAGGTGGCGTGCACAATGAAAGCGGTTTTCCAATCAACAGGCTGACGGCTCGTGAGAGCTGATGAGGAGTTGGAGGTACTGCCACTGTGGCTGCTCTTCGCCGCTCCATCATTCACTAATAATAATCCCTCGCTGCTGGAAGAAACTACCAGGGTCAAGAATGCATGAAAAGTGTATTTACTTTCCAAACAGGTATCGTTCACGCCACGCGTAGAGGAGATGACGCTGTAGCAATGACTGAGCTCTCGAACATGTGGTTCTTTTGAATGTACAGTTTATTTCTTTTAATGCTTCCCTTAGTGCAACACCGTCAACTGAGTGTATGATTTCATTCTGTGACTTTAGGACACTTCGGGGCAGGCGACCTGTTCACCGGAGGTCTTAATCAGATTATATGAATAAAATATATTGAAACAAAGAACAAGAACAAGTCTTTATTTTT